TGTCTGGGTGGCTTCATTTAATGTACAATAGGCTCATTACAAATTTTTAACATCCTCATCTGCAAAGCCACTGGCAGATGTCAGATGAATGTAGTCAAGTAAGAAGTACAATATTTCCCTTTGTAGTGCAGTGGAGCAGAAACATAATTAAAGCACTAAAGTAAACTGCAGTACTTGAGTACATGAAACTTTCCACCACTGGTGGTATACTAAGAATCGCATACTGGGTGTTTCTCCTGTGGGACTTCGGGGATTTTGACATTTCGTGCTTGTTGGGGGTGGGGTCAGGTCAGGTGAAGCTAGCTACATTCACCAATGCTACTTGCAACACATTACTGTGGCTAATTACAGTGCACTAAACCATACATACCCCCATTAACAAAACACCTAGCATGAGTCGGCATGCACAAACGATTAGCCTTGCAGTACTTACATTAAACTCTGTCCCTCCATGGCACACAGCCTTCATTTCCCTGTTTTTGCCGGTGCCCTGCAGCAGCCAAAGTTGACAGTAAGCTAGTGTAGCGGCACTTACTGATGAAACCCTATAAACTTTTTATTTTTTCAGATTCCTCCACAAGGCGTAACTTCCCAGTTCCACTTTGAAACACTTTTCAAGCTAGCAACAATCGATAATGCACCACGCGTTTATAATCTCTGACGAGAAACGGACGATTGCTTTGAAAATGTCGACTGTAATGGCAAATGTAGTTACATTCACTGCTGACTATGTTCAATCGCTCCAGTGTGATGAACTGGAATAATAAAATCTGTTGCTGAGGGCGCGTACCGTTTCTGATTCACTGTAGCTGCCTTAACGGCTCAACTGCACCTAGCGAAAAGACTACATGAAAGGCAAGATAGTAAACACCCGCTACACCGGAACGTTGGGGAAATAATGTCGCACTTTCGTTTAACCACTTCACATTCACATTTAGAGACAGTGGGCGTCAAGTGGGGCGCTCACTAGCTCGGTGTTTTATTAAATATGATTTAACAATAAATACGTAATCAAGTACGATCTGGTAATTGATTCACAGCTAAAAATAGATCGGTCCAATTGACTAACGGATTTAAGCGAAGACGGAAGTTGCTAACAGGAAAGTCTCTCGCCTTGTATAAAATAAGACATTCAGTCAATGCAATTTCCACTAGCTTACAGGCAAAGAAGACCATTTCGCTAATGTAAATACAGCATTTGGAGCAGGGTTTGTTAGTACTGGCTAGTTTAGTGTGTTGCTAGTCATGAAGTAACACTTAGCTACACTCGTGACCTCTTTTCGTATACAAGCCTGACGTGTTTATGTTAGGTCTATTCTATCAAAACAGGCTCCTCTTTGAATTCAAGGGCACTTTTGGAGAATGCATGTGCAGAGAGTCGTTCTCAACTCACGACCAGGTTGGCAACTTCACAAATTACTAATTTTTTGCATAAAAGAAGATGACCCATTGTCTTATCTCATGTGTTGCAACAGTACAGCACCGTGTGGCTAACGTATACTACTGAAAACTACTTATTTACATCAAGGTAAAAACGGGGCGCCAGTTCCTGAAAATTTCCGTGTGGAGGAGACGACTTTAGCACCTGACCTGAAAGATGGGGAGGCCCTTGTCCGGACGCTTTACCTTTCAGTCGACCCTTACATGGTATTGATACAGTCAAGATAGACAAAATAGATGACCTTTTGAGCCATATTATCTATATTTAGACTCCAGACTGTCTAGTATAAATAAATGTTACCAAACGAAAGGTTTAAGTTCAAAATGTTTTTTTAAGTTTTTGTCCAGTGACTTCTTCTTCTTCTTATCACTGCAATTAAAGAGCCAAAGTTATATCATACAGTCAACTAGTCATAAAACCACAAACAAAGCTTCCCCATCTCCATGACTCTTATCTTTCTGTCTTTGCCACTCAGCGATGCAGATTGAACGAAGACACCGGTGCTGATTACCTGACTCCATGGCAGCTGTCTGAGTGTGTGGATGGTGGAGGTGTTGGGTTGGTTGAGTCCAGCCGCTGCAGCACCTGCACTGAAGGAGATGTGGTCACTTCATTCAACTGGCCTTGGCAGACCCATGCTGTTATGAAAGGAAGTGGCTTACAGAAGGTCTGGCATATCACTGTGTTTCAGCAGTGGCATATTATCCCCTGTGACAGGTAGACTGGGTCATAACTTCCTCTTGCAGAGAGGAGAATGACTTTGTGATCTGTGTGAAAAAATTGCAATGTGTTATGTAAGCTGTAAGGGTTTCTACTTGTTCTCTCTCTGCAAAAAAAAGTAATGCACTGACTGATAGCACCCTGCATGTGACAGGTAAGCTGTGTTACATCAGCTGTGAATAGTACCTTCTTTCTATTGCAGGTTGATCCACAGTTGGTTGACGGGCACTTGTCCTACTTTTTGGGTGCAGTTGGCATAACAGGCCTCGCTGCACTGCTGGGTGTAAGGGAGAAGGGTCACGTGATCAAAGGGGCCAATCAGACCATGGTGGTGAGTGGCGCGGCTGGGGCCTGTGGCTCCATAGCTGGACAGGTAAATACAGGAAACTCCAGATTTCCAGTCCATTAACACTTGACTGTCTAATACAATATACAGGTGCATCTATTTGAAAAGGTGAAAAAATACGCAAAAACTACACTGATTACCATCTAATTGACTTAAAAAATGTAAGTAAATAACTTGAAGGAGTTAAATTAATTCTTGAAATGATCTCTGTCCCAATGGGTGTAAATATGAGAAAGATTAAGGCAAGATGGTTGATGGAGCTGTTGCTGCTGTAGTTCAAAAACCATACTCAAGGTAGCAGGTTTAATCTCGCTAATTATAGTTGGCAACATAAACATAGTTTCAGTTTAGCCCAATTTTATCATTGCACCCTGCTTTTCTTTTCCAGATTGGCAGGCTGGATGGTTGCGTGAGGGTTGTTGGGATCTGTGGAACTGATGAGAAATGCAGAGCTTTAGTGGAAGATCTGGGCTTCTCTGCTGCCATCAACTATGGCCAAGAGGATGTACCGACAAAGCTCAAGGAGTGCTGCCCTGATGGTGTGGATGTTTACTTTGACAACGTGGGAGGTGTCACCAGTGATACTGTTATAGCACAGGTACTGCTTGGATTGTATCTGTTTGCATGTGTTTTTTCTTTGGCTGGAAAGCATGTGAATTCTGAGGTGTTAGTCAGCTTTTCTTCCCCTAATTGTCTTTCCAGCTTTTGCAAAATTAAAAGTGGTGGCTGCGGATTCTTAAGTATTTACTGCTAATCTTCTCTGTTTTGAAATCTCAATCTGACTCATTGACCTCTTTCTCTTTCTTTACCTCCAGATGAACAAAGGCGGCCATGTGATTTTGTGTGGGCAGATCTCTCAGTATAACAAGGATGTGCCATATCCTCCGCCTTTAAGTGAGGAGACTCAGGAAACCCTGCAAAGAAAGAGCATCACCCGAGAGCGATTTATGGTGCTTAACTACATGAACAAAGCAGACGCTGCCCTCTGTGAGCTCAGCCAGTGTGTTAAATCAGGCCAAGTCAAGGTAAGGAGGTTGACTGTTTGGGTGTCTTTGTTCGTTTGCAAAATGCACGCTTCTTCCCTGTCTGTCGTTTTGCATCATTTTGTTGCAATTCTTCTTCCATTTTGCAGGTGCTGGAAACTGTGGTGAATGGCATTGAACATATGGGAGGTATGTGAGTTTCAGTTCTGGCATTTTTCCCTCTTGACTCTATGACTTGTTTTCTTTGACCTGACAGGAGTTTAATAATTTCTTTCATTTTCTTGCAGATGCATTTTGCTCTATGATGAAAGGGGGAAACATTGGCAAGCAAATTATAAAGATATTACAGTGAAGAAAATCCGTAATTTCCAGTAGTGACTGCTCTCACCAGATACCTGGGGAAATTAACCCAGTTGCCTTTTTATCACTGCCGATAACACTAACTTAATGAACTCTTGTAGGATATTGCATTGAGTACCTAATGCCAGTTGATTACAATTATGAAACTGTGTCTTTGAGAAAAATAAAATTAATGTAAAGAGTGCTTGAAAGCTAACACGACGAAAAGTTCACAAGACACCATGCTAGTAGCATTATCTTCCTCTACAAGTGCATTTCTCTTCTTAACCAAAGACCATAATCGAAACAAGCCTTTGGTCTTCATTGTGTTATCCTACATGTGATTTATTGTCGCCCATAGTGTTAAACTAAAAATGTTTATTAGCACAATCTTGCTAATAGAGTTTGAGTTATTCCACAGCATATACTGCGGATAGATGATTATCATTATGTGCACTTGCTGTTTTAATTTTATGAAAAAGCCGTGCAGTGTTTTTAGTTAAGCTTCATATCACACCCATGTAAATGGAAATAAGCCTTTGGACTTTACTGTCATCCTTGACATGGTGAAGATTTCATTTAATGTCTCTCCATTGTCATAATTAAACATAATTTTGAGTATCTAATTTTGTTTACTTTTTTTGTTCACGCTTGTGTGAAATTATGTAACAATGACCTGAAGACAAACCCAAAGTATATGAGTTACTGTAATGAACATTTTTATTCCACAGCACTATAAACCATTAATAAAATAAAATTGTGGTTGGCTCTAAGATCAGTTGTCACAAGAAAAATATGTGGCAGGTGTAAAATCATCATCCTAATTCATATACTTAAGTATGTGAACAGAGGAGGGGATGCAGAAGAAGTCAAGTGAACACCAGTACATCACTTACAGTATATTCCTTCTCGGAGACGCAACGGTGGTGGAGACGATGTTTTCTTGTGAACGGTCAGTTTGATGTACAGTACAGAATAATCACAACCACATTTATAAACCATAATCAGCGAGTGTGGATAAACTATGGAACTTTAGGTGATTTTTTAAAAAAATTAAAAAAAAAAAAAAAAAATTAGTCCCATGCATTACTTGGGAGGTGGTCACCCAACCCAGTCATCAACCATTATCCTCTAAATCCATTCAATACTGCCTCCTTGTGGACAAACAACAAAGCTTGTGAGAGGTGCTGAGCACTGTGAAGGAAGACCTCTCCACAAACATAAGTCCATAAAATGAAAACACCAGTCTTTCTGCTGGAATTATACACTTGGTAGTGCTTCCGTACAAGTGATAAAGACTCGTCTACACAGAGAGGAAAGAAGTTATTAAACCATTGTCAGCATGAGCGCACATAATTTCATTTTCCCAGTGTCTGGCAGGTGTTCTAATATTAAACTGCATGCCTTATAACAGCACTGAGCAATTATTCTGCACTCACACCGGTATGGTTTGAAAAAAAAAAAAAAAAAAACACGTGGATCCAACGCTGCTGGAACATTGCTTCTATTAAAAGACTTGATAAATGTGGTCTTCACCCTATATATGTTCTTTTTTAGATCAGTTTGTTCTCGTGGAATCCAGGCACCTGCTACTACTGGCTGGAAAGGATTAAATTGAGAGTGCAACAGACACACTTTACCGCTTTCACACACATTCACAAAAAAAGGGATTCATATTCTAAACCATATAGACAAACACGTTTTCACACGAGTGAAAGGCTGTCAGGTTAGCTTCCAATGCAGGGAATGCCCTTATATCTTCCTAACCACACTCACCATGAGGAAGGGGAGGGGGGGTAAAGAATGTCCTTTCCAGTGCAGTTTTATAACAAGGGAAAAATTAAGAAATCACACAATACAATCAGAATGAATAAATAAAAACAGCATAGTACTGATTCATCTCATTTCATCACATCTATAACACATTCATTTTGTTTTTTTTGTTTTTTTTTTTTTTTTAGCCACCACACAACTGGAATTTTTAAACATGGTTTTTTTTAGTTCACTGAGCTACTATGGAGTATAAAAACATTGTCCTGAAATACTACTGGGACCAGCCTATTGTTCAAGTGCTCACATTCCTGAGAAACAAACAGCTGCTTTCTGTAGTCACGTTTGAAGGAGCATGAAGAGTCAGGCCGGCTTCTCTGCGTTTTGGTGAAAAGTGGCATTGAAGTTTTTTGATATGAATATTCCAATGCGAATATTTAGAAGTTTTTAGTGGCAGTTGTGTGCAATGGAATTAATTTGATTTAAAAACACTTTCAATCATTAACTACTTATACACAGCTCAACTACAGCACTTGATTGGTTTATAATTTCCTTCCTTTGATTTCCTGTGATTGTGTGTAGAACTTAAAAATATCTTTGTCTAGGTTGCATTACCTACAGTATGTCATCTCCACCAAAGTAACTACCACTCTGTCAGCCATGGGAAGTTAGGAAAAGCTTGCGGTGTATAAAATGAGGCGTACACCTTTATTATCCACATGATTTGTCTGTCGGAAGGTAAACTCAAGGATCGGTTTGGCACATCCAGCCTTCATTAGTGAATGAAAATGGTTTTCAGAGGGAAGAATAAAAGATGAAATCTTTCTTATTCATCCTTTGGCAGTGGTGAAGTAGCATTCGGCCAAGGCAACACTTCCAGAAAAGTGCTAAAGCTCAAATAAATGAGTCAGCTTAAACCACAGCAGAATACAGCTCGTATACTGTCAACTGCAGCATACACTGGACTAGTCCTCTAATAGCTCCGACAGGCTATTTAATCCTTATTGTATCCAAGGTGTTTTTGTTTTTTAACACTGTACACATTGCTATGAATATGGCCAGAAATGTGCTCACCGGTGCTTTACAATAACATGCATATTAAGTAAACAATACTATCTAGAAACAGGATAGTGTGTGATGTACTGTGAAGTGGCTGTGGAAGGAGCGAAACAAAGGAGGGAGCTTCTGTGTGGGGAAAATTGAGGCTTTCAGGGTGGATAGAGACAGCAAAATATATCTGTGAGTCAGGCTCAAGGGAAATCGTGGTGGTACAGTGCAATTACTGTCAAGAGGAGGAGATGCTCTTGCTGTTGTCACGAATGAGAGGGGCAGGGCCTGTCCAGGCGCGGTACACCAATAGCAGACTGAGCCCTAATGCCCACGTGCGGACAGGAGACAGGAAAAAGGCCATGGGGCCGTAGGTCTCCAGGAGAAAGTAGCAGGAATGGGCCTGCCAGGTGAGCAGCAGCAGCATGAAGAGGTGAACCGCCAGAGTTCGCCAGCGGCAGCCCGGCCGCAGGAAGTGGGATCGGAAGGTGTTGCCGCGGCAACGGTGGTGGAGGCTCCAGCAGAGGTAAGAAGTGAGGGGCATGTTGAAGAACAGCAGCTGGAAATTAGTTCAGTTAAATGTGATTAGTGCAGTTGTCAGTCCTTAAAATAAGATGAGGCCTTGATAATAGCTGTGGGTGGCTTCACCCAAACATATTAATACAGCAGTGAAAACAGAATATGAGCGTAGAGTTGAAAGGATTACAAAACATGTTAAGTACAAATTTATTAAGGTAATGGGTTGAAGGCTCTTTGGCCTGTGATCCGTTAGAATAAAGAAATATCTACCTGTGACCCTTCATCACAGGCTGGAGAGACATGAGCTTAACCAAACGGTGATTTTTCTTTGTCAGTTTCATTTATTTCGAACACTTTTTATTTTATTTTATCTTAGCTAAAGTATTGAGTATTTTTGTCCCAATTGTTTTCTTTGTTTTCCTTAATCATCTTGTGATCCCTGAGATTTATTTTAGGACCCCTTGGGGGGTTCTGACACCCAGGAAAGGAACCACTGATTTAAGGTATAATTTTAGTGAAGTAAGACAGCACTAGTAGATTCAGTGGAACCTGTTATGCCAAAAAATAAATGTAATTAAAAATAGGATTTTTCTGCCAAAAACAAAACAAAAAAAGCTAAAAATGCAGAATTTAGCAATCGAGAAAAAAAGGTGAACACAAGGACACCTGAAGTTATAGGCTGTAGTTGAATATATGACTCACAATAAGCATATTTGCATACAAGCAGACATCACTGATATGTAGAGCAGTTTAGGGCTGCAACATCTAACATCTAACATTTTTTGTCATTAGTAAGTGAGTAATTTTCTTACTTGAACAACTCCAACAACATAAGTGAGACTGCCCTCCAGGAAGTGTCCATCTATGAAAACCCCAAAGGCGAAGCAGGCACCGCTATGGCCATCTATCAATTCTCCTATAAACCACGGACCTGTAGGCAGAGATGGGAAAACAGTACAGGCGATTATGACTATGGACTATACAAGAACATGCACAGGATTACAGGTAAATCCAGCATCTTTACATAGACGAGTTATTTTTTAACATTCTTTTTAGTTTATAGAATTATATTATTTAGTGATTAGTCTTCAATTCACAGATATTGCACAGATTTGTTATTGCAATACTACTTTGAAAATAGAGGCATTTTTAGAAAGAAGTTGACCCACCTAAGGCTGTACACAGGTTGAACAGTAGCAGAGAGTAGTAGAAAGTGTCCATTTTACTGACGAGATGGAGCGACATACACGCTTGAGATGTCAATCCTGTAGATGATTAAAAAAAATAAAAAATTTAAATGTATGATTGTACACACTGTAAAATATACTACTCTATTGAAATAATTACACAGCCTTATATGCCAATGCAAATGATAATAAATCAACATGTAGTCTGCGCAGGTTTATTGTGAGCCTTGCTTCTGTCCACAGACAGCTCTGCAGACTGTAAAATCAGTGCAACCGCTCTTCAGTCGCCTGAAATTCAAATGAAATTATGATGATGTAGCTATTTGCAGGGTGTTCAGTGACAGCTCACCTCTGCCAGAGGGAACACGCAGGAACCTAAAGGCCAGCAGCACACCAACATTCAGCAGCATCATGAATATGAAGGCCACTCGGCCCAGGATGTAGTGGTCTGTGAGGAGGATGAAGGACTGCACAAAACCAAAGCTGGGAGTCAGGTCATCCTCCAGAGTGAAATGTTGCTCCCGGACTGTCGACCGGCCTGCTGAGTCCTGACTCACAGGACACGCACACAAAGATGAGGAAGACACAGATTTTTCAATCCATATATTTATAAATATATATCTATTCTACAAATATAGGTCAGACACATTGAAATCTGCACCAAGACATCAATATTAAGTAGTGTTTCAAAGACATGGTGTCCAGACAGCAGATCTAACAAAGCTTCTACTGAATCATATTTCAACTCAGGCAAACAAACTTAATCAAGACCTATGAAATATTTATAAGTCTCAAAACACTTTTCACTTTAAGTGGAAGATAAGTGAATCCTGTACTGACCTCCACTTTAACTCTGATAGTGTGCAGTCCAGTGAGGTAGAGAGATGGATCCCATAGCAGAACGTACAGAGGACCTCCAGCAGAGTGGCCTTTCCCCAGAGGTTCCCCATCGACGCTCACATGCACTGCTGTGATTTGAGCCTCTGAGAAGGCCAAGATCCTGTTGAGAACCAAGGAAATTAATGTTTTATTATTGAAAATTAGATAAAGGTCATGTCAGCAAGCTTTCCCAGTGAAAAAACTAAATTTGGAATTAACTTCCAGGGTTGCCAACTTCTGCCAAGGTAGCACAGTCCACATTTATTCTTTTAAATAATCAAAAATGTTTTGAAATCTTTCATTTAAAAACAGATTTCCATCATAACAAATGAAATAACAGACACGTATCCTCAGTATTTTGATTAAAGTAAGTGTTCTAATTCATATTAAATGGCCAAGATGTTTATAGAAGTCATTTAAAAGATTCCTAGATCCAGATCTAACTAACTAAAACTGACTAACCTGTGACCTAAGTTTCTACCAAATGACATGGAAATCTGTTACCAAGTTTTGTGATGTGCAGCACTGCTACTTGCAATCAAACATATAACAAAATCAGGTGTGAGTAACATTAAATGCTGGGTATATTATCAGAGACAAATAATCTGTAAAAATATCTGTACATGACATGAGAGAAACCAAATGTTGTACAACCACGTATAGCAGAGTCAGTGAAGGGTTTATGGCTCTAGTAACAGTCAGCACACACACAGAGCAGAGACCTGATGTGTGTCGTTCTCCGTATCCGACCCAGCGGCTCCACCCCTGGATGCAGGTACTGTGCGTCCTTGGGGTTGGTGATGAGCACTGCAGGCCACTGCTCAAACCTCAGGTCAGAGAAGCTCAGCAGGTCATGGTCAAAGGCCAGAACCCTGTACCTGGAGGCAAGTGTGAGAAGAATGTGCTGAACACCTGTGTATATTTCTATATGTGGAGAAAGGAAATAAAAAGCAAGCAATGACAAGCAAAAGAGTGAGGGGGAAAATAAAAACCATACAGTTAGAAATATCTTGTGATCATGACGTATTGCATACCTGCGGTTATCCATCCAGTCACCAAGCTCCAGCTCCAGGGTGCCTTGAGGGTGTCTGCTGTGGAGGACAGGCATCAAGCCGCCCAGTGTGTGCAGGTGGCCACAGAGATAGGCAACTGCAGATCTAATCAAAAGATGAAATTTAGAAGTTAGAGCAGGCTGTTGAATGCTTGTGCAATAACTGGGTGGATCCATTTTCTAAGAACTGGTTTATAGTCGAGGTTTATCTTACCTCATCATGTCTCGAACCCCAGGAGAAGGGGAGACAACAGTTGAGGTTGTGTAGTGGCCAAACCAGATGGACTGGTTGCTTTTCAGACTCTCAACTCTGAACGTGTCCAGCAAGTCCATTTGAGTCTGTCATATATTGCGAAAAGCCATATATTAATCATGTGTTCCATTAGATTTCACATTTATTGTGTGCAGATCCTTTGTTTATTCCTTTAAAAGACAGAATAATGATTGTGAGCCATATTTTTCCTTTCAGGAAATTCACATTTACAGCACTGGTTACTATTTAATACTGTCAAGTATGAGTATACTGTATGTTGTAGCACTGAAACTGTCAGTTGTATGTGTTAGTACAACCTTGTATTTGCTTATTTCTAAATTTTTTTCATTTATTTCAACCACCTGCTTTTTCAGTGGTCACGTTTCTTTGCAGGTGAAGGTGCCATTAAATCATTCAATGTTTAATAAATTCAACTGTGTGAAAGAACCAGTGTTTGCTGTATTTATTTTGTCATTCAGTGAATGTTTGCGTTCTGTGAAGAGTCGGTGTTAGACAGACATACCTGGTTGAGAATACCAAAGAAATTGTACGGTCTCTTGGGTCCTGGAGTCAGAGTGGCATCCGCGCAGACAAAGGAGTAATTGCCAAAGGGAGTTTTGTGAACATAGTGGAAGGAGCCTACTTTCTGATTAGCCGAGTATTTCCTAGAGAAAATTGAGAAAAGCCAACGTGAGCAACCAGATACTGCACAGTAGACTGGGATGGAGCCAGCAGCTCCGATCTTAGTACGGCCCTGAGATAATTTAATGCATATTGAATAAATCAATTAGGCTCGCGTAAGAGACAGACTTTGTCTCGCAGAGGATGACCACATCATTAAGAATATTAGGGAGACAAAAGATCAATCAGCATTGACAGAGGCAGCAACGCCACATAAAACATAATTTGTTTGAAAAGACAAGGAAGTCGGTCTGTTCATGTAGATTCTGCTTCTATTTTGGTCTTTGGGAAGCTCAGACAGCTTGGAATATTGTCAATAAATAGGTCTGCTACTACTCATGTTTCAGAGCCATTGAAGTCCTAATATACTCTGAATGACTTCACACTCAGCTTGCTACTTTAAGATATGCAGGGGTAAGCTCTGACTTTATCTAAATCAGGCATTTACTGTGGTACTGACTTTTTCATACTGACCGGTAATAATTGTTGACACTGTCCAATGACATTATGTTGAAGGCATCTGTCAGAAGAAATGAAACAATGGTGAGATTGAGGGGCATACGAGCTTACAAAAGATCACAACGACCAGAATGTGTAATGAGGATGATGCATATTTAATCGAGGCATCAGATTTCTTCATGATACAGGAAGATATCGAACCAAATCTGTTATCATAGAATCCATGGACTGATAAAGACAGGACACACATCAACAACTGCAATCAATAACAGCAGAACAGTTGTCAGAGAAACTGCAGGTCCAATAACTAGCTTTCTTTTTTTGACAGTTACAAAGTAAAGATATCTTGTTTCACATCTAATAGCTCCCAATCCAATAACAGAGAAGAAAGCAGTGGAGAGGGTGGGGTGGGAAGACTTCCTGTGAGATGCTAAAATGCACCACGGTTAATGAATTCTTCAGAAAATCTCAATAGTGGTGACTTATGAGAGGATGATAAAATAACAAAGTGCTGCAGTTAATCACCATGATTCCCACGGATGTCTATCCACCGAGTGCGCTCCATCACGCGTGACCTCTTCAGTATGTTGTGGTAGGCCTGCCACTCCACCTCATGCTGGAGGGAACCCACCTTACTCTCTGTTTTAGCATCTGTCAGGTCCCCTGTGGAGCAGAGAGGGAAAGCGTGAGACACATGGAATGAAGCGCATGAGGCACTTTAGTTGATTTCTGGACTACATAGACACGAGAGCCACACCCGATGAGTCTGCTTACAAAACAAAGACTTTCCAAGCAACTTAAACTAATTTAAGGTGCAGGGATTGCTGTACCTGTTGCAAGCACTAGAGCTGGCTTGATCACTTCAATGGTGTCTGTGCAGAACTTTTCAAAATCAGGAATGCGTCTTGGGTCATGAAATCGGCTTATGTGAATGTCAGACACCTTGAAAATTGGGGATAAAGAAAAGATTAAAACTGGTCTTACACCTGGATTGTGTTTAACCTAGTTCTAACACAGCAGTGTGTGAGAGCTGTAAAACACAAAAGGGGCAAAGTCTGACTGCAACTTACTGTGTTGCTGAACCACCTTTTTAAGTGACAATGACACACTTCTGTGGTCAGTGACCCCTTTCAGTCAATCATTCAGAGAGTTCAACCACCATGGCTAGCTGTCTATAACAACACTGCAAAGCCAAATGTTCTACCTATGTTATATGCAACATATACAATTTAGTTTAAACAGCATGATTTCGCTTTTGGTAAACGGCTTGAAAGACCAAACAAAGCTAGCTAGCAGGTCAGAATAACAGCCCACCTGTAAAAACCAAAATATATTGTTCAACTCGCCGCCGGGAAATGGTGGTGAACTCCCCTTAGACACATCTCCATCACCGGCATTCGGGTGCCGAACACTCCGCTTCGGGTGCCAAGCCGTGTCATAGCTGTCCAACACCCAGGAGGTGATGCACGCCAGGGCCAGTCCGAGGATAACCAGTGCACCGAACAGCTTCAGCATCCTCCTGTAGTGGTGAGAGAGGGGGCTAGCTGCCGCCGTCTGTCCCGGACAGAAAATAGCTAGCTACTGGTGGAAATAGCTAAGGGCACGAATCACACTAACATTGACTACACAGAGGGTGGACAATTTGACTACATGGCTAAGAGCTACGACTCAGACCGTTTCTGTCGCTGCCATCGCGGCCACTGGAGATGCATTGAGGTGCGGGGTTCATTCACGGGTTCCGTACAGCTGCCTTCAGAGGCGGAGGAGGCAGCTCGGCAGGTTAGCTCCGTAGCTAGCTCCCTACCAGCTACCAACAGCACACTGACCGGTTGGAAGAGGAAACGTCAACGTCGGACGAAAGGAGAGTGTGTGAAGAAAGAGCTCCCACTCTGACTTTGTTTCAGCACCGCAGTCGACTGCAAACCTACTGCACCTCCCATCGCGAGACGTTTCGGGAATAACCGGAATCAGAATCAGCTGCCAGAGACAGCTCAGAAAGTTGTTGTTAGAGAGCATCTCTGATCCAGCTAAAACTAATACAGCGTTCACAATACAACAAAAGTCATGCAACAAATCTTCCCTACATCGAAGTTGTAATGTTCCGTTTTTGTTGAAACTGTGTTAAAGAGGTGTTATTTCAACTATATGATCGTTTTGGAGGCTGCAATTTGTGCTGCACTATTTTAACAGGTATTCCTATTATTTTGTCCACCCCAATCAAATCAATGAGGATAGGATAAACAACATTTCTCTGTATAATATAATACAGTTCAGCAGCACCACAAATTGCAGCCTCCAGAACGATCATGAAGTTAAACACCTATTTAACATCGTTTAAACGAAAATTAACTTTATAATCTTCATGATAATAGGTCTTATTGTAGGACTGCTATATTTGACTGCATTAAATTTAGCTGGGTGGTATTGATAATCTCACAGTTGAGTTTATGTTTGCTCAGGCAAGGAATTTAACTTTGATTTCTAGTGGCTCTCAATGTCCTTACACAGTACACAGTATGTACAGTACAGGCATAGTGTCAATAATGAGTAGGCTACTAGTTTTGATGTATTTTCTGCTAATATTTTACTTTAATATTAACTCTTACGTTAAGATTATGAATGCAGGGCTTTTACTTTTAATGGAGTCTTATTATAGTGGGGTATTTCCACAGCTTTATTTAAGTAAAAGGTCTAAATACTTCTTTCACCACTGACTGTTAATGGGAAAGTGGTGAGATCGGGTAGTCCTATGTGTTACTAGTTTAGGACTTGTCCAACTGCATCCAAACTTAAACCAATACCCATAAATAAAACAGGCTTCACTTTAGCAACAACTGTTGCTGTTTCCATGACTGTTTTTGTGATAAGTGCACATGGTGGCAGAAAATTTTTATTCTTGAGTACGTCATCTTTGGCTTAATGGCGCCTCACAGTGGTCTTTGCCAGAAGTGTCTTTTTTTGCGGCTGCGTTCCAAACTAAACAGTTATATCCTCAAACACTGCACATGTGACTTTATCTTAATTTTATATTCAAAACATTTAGGATTTTTATTGCGCAACGTGTATATACTATAATATTCGACCAAATGTTACAGCTCATAAAACAATCACCAAACACTGATTTGTTGATTGTATGCACGATGTAGCCAGTGTTGCCAGATTGGGCGGTTTCCGCAAATTCATGCAGGTGATCTAAAAAAAAAAAACCATCAGGAAGTTTGTTATTATTCTAGTTGCCAAAATTTGCCGCAGCGACCAAGCCTGATTGCCACAATTTGTGTCAGAAATCGTCCTTAAACAAATCTTCTGACATATTCTGAATATCCCCTATGTCTTTGAGAATAAACTTCAATAAACCCACATAGAAATCATGGAAAAAGACACCTCCTTTTTATTGTAGAACTGGCCTGAGAATCATCACGTTTTTAAGTTCTTTAATTAGTAATTTATTAATAGCTGTCAGTGCATCCAATTGTAAATAGCTATCAGGGACTGCTAAGAGCGAATTTGGCGTAATAATAATTTTTCACGATATAAACAATTATAGGTTAAAAGGGGGGGGGGGTCAACAGCATAATTCGATGTCATTTAACGTTTAAATTATATATGATGGACAAGGAAAACTCTCCTAGATCGGAATGAGAAATCGGGCAACTTTTTGGATAGGGTCTTTGGATTGGTCCACTATTTGTCACTCAAATCTGGCTCACTTGTGTGCAGCGCGCGCCCACTGATAAGCCGCGAACGAGCTTTAAAGAACCTGGTGCGCGCGCCCGAGCTGTTGCGAGGGGCGATCGAATCGGGGACGCGCGCGCAGGAAGGCTGCTGATCATCACAGAGTCGTCACGTCACGGATCCGCAGCGACCGACAGAGATGCTGAGGTGACAGGCAGAAGGAGAAAAGGGACGATCACGCTCAGACATATTCCCTCCCCCGTCCGCTTGTTTATTTCCAGTCATCGACAGCGACCGCATCCGCCTCTTCCTATGGACTGTTCTCTCGCTATGGGATTCCGCTCCATGTCGTCCCCGCCGCCTCCAAACGTAGACGGTTTTTTCTAACCACACCCGGCTCTTCTTTAGGATCAAGCAGCAAAGACCCGAGGTAAGGATCCAGAAACGGGAGGCCGTGCCCATACGGTTCACCACCGTAACCCCCCCCCCCTCTTTCTTTGTCGCCTGCAGCTGTATGCGTTGTGTCTGTTATCTTGCATGTTGTCAGAGCTTACGATATAACCTCCTCCACGCCAGGCAGGACGAGCTTGCGTGGCCTGTGGACGGTCAATGTGCGTGGACGCGCCTGAGTAAATCTGCTGTGGCAACCAACTCGCTATGCAACAGCTCTCCACAGCGAAGCCAGTCAGTTCACTGCAGGGAGGATAGGAGGGGGATACGTTTAATTTTTGCTGCAGTTTGCTGCCTGTCACATCCGATTGAAAACAACCTAACCCTGCAGAGGTATTTGTGTTTATCTTGTTCTATTTGTTTTGCACAAATCAAGGATATGAAAAACTGTTCATTGAAAGTAGTTGCTGCTCTTTAGGTGAATGGCTTCAGTGAAGCTATTCTGCCACATAAACACACACTTCCAGGTGTCATCCTTTACTGTTTCTTCAGCCAGGATCAGTTGCATCCATGCTGTCATTTGAAAGGAACCAGACTGTGGAGGACCTCCCCATGCTGGCTCCTCTCCAGTTGCCAGACCAGACACTAATTTCGTCCAGCAGCAGCCCGACAAGTCTCCCTGTCTTGCTATTTAACCAGGCCTCTCTCGGATTAGACAGAAAATTTAGCAGATGTTAGATTTTCAGCAAAGTTATTCTCACTTGTGTTATTGCACTTGGCATGCATGCATAGATGGCTTTCTAGGTTCAGAGCTTATTTGCTTCTTTTTTTTTTGTTGTTTTTTTTACTGCCAAAGCATCTCCAGGATTTGGCTTTAGGAGGAGGAGCGAGAGGAATCCTCTGTGGTGGGATCACATGTTGACATGACATTCATGATGCTTTATGTACAGTAGCTGTAAACTTGCAGCCTCCAGCAGACCAAAAGGCCAGAGGCGACGACAAGCTGCAGTCAGCAAACAAAAATGGCACTGCACCATTGTCGCCATGGAGATGCCAGGGTCAGGAAGCGTGTGTGATTCATGATGAGACAGGAGCTGGCTGTCATAGATTGGTTTAATTTTTTTTTTTTTTTCTCCATGTGGCTGTTTTTCTTCGTTTTGTCATTGATGGTGATTTACATGGAAGAATAAGAGGAGGAGGACGAGGAGGAGGAGGAGGAGGAAGAGCAGCCTTGGCTCTCTGTGAGGTGTGAGATTAGTCACAGTGTGAGGCAGCCTTGCTTGTGCATAGGTGTGTTTGCTTAAATGCAATATGTGTATGAGCTTGTGTTTGAGTGCATGTGCATTGGAGAAGTGGCTTAAGCTTCTCATGCAGTGTGACTGCATATGATTGATATTCTGACCCACTCAGATTGTTTTTGGGGGGCTAGTAGATACCTCAGATGCTCCCAGACTCTTTAACCTAAAAGTATAGTTTAGGTTAGGTAGCGTACAACTCCCCTAACATCCATCCTTTCTCTTATACCTTCCATTTTTCTGTGAGAAGCTAATGTTTTTCTCACATTCACACTCTTAAGCCGTGGAAGTTGAATGTGGCAAAGCAGCAGTTGTCTCTCCCCTGATGAATTTTGAGCAAATTACTAACTCGTCCTACTGTGCTCAGAAAGGAGGTCTCATGCATGAAAGAAAAAGTGTTTTTCCTGAGATCAACGGGTGACCTTGAAGTTCTGACACAGGACTCACAGCTGAGGTTATTTAATCACAGTGTTCGCTGTGAGTTGCTTATCCCTCGAGGTTAGAAGCTATCTGTACAGCATGTTTCTTCTGTGGTTTTCATGGTGTGTGCTGTGTTTTTTGTTGTTGTTGTTTTTTTAGCATAATATCAAGAATTCAGCAGATGTTTTCAAGATGCAGCTCTGACTTGGCTTTGCAGACCTTCAGATGCAACACATGAGGAAAAATATGATCCAGGTTTTAGTGCCTGACATTGACATAAGTTGTTGCCAGAAAGAGACATTTATAGATTCAGCTTTGGCCGCTATGGATTTATAGAGAGGTGTTGGAGCAAAGAGAGCTTGATTCAGCTCAACTTCTGTTCCTCCTGTTTCCTTACACTTTGTGTCTCTGTCTTGAACTAAGCAGAAAACAAAAGGTACAGATGTGTAACTGTAACCAGGATTTTTAGCCATGTTAGCGTCGTCACTCCGGGTATGGCAGTGTCAGTCTGTTCACCGCTTTGCTCCAGACTGAAACATCTATTCGATGGATTGCCATGACATTTTGTTCAGACATTCAGGATGATGACGCCCAACAACTTTGGTGACCCCCTGACTTTTTATCTAGCACCACCATCAGGTCAAAAATATAATTTTCCCTTTAGTTCGGTTTATAGGCGAAATACCTGCAAAGCTAATGACATCATCCTTGACTGTACTTTGCGTTTAATGGTTGTTAGCAAATTATAGCATAACACTCTAAACTGTGGCCATGATAAACATTATAGTTGGCATTTGACATTAGCATATAGCTCAAAGCACTGCTACGCCTAAGTAGCCTAGCAGAGGTGCTAGCATGGCTGCACTCTCTTAGTCTTGTTCACTTTTAAACATATAATATTCAGTCGTGGTAGTTAGTGACATTTTTCTCTGTATATATTATAATGCTTCTCTGGTTATTTAAACACTTAATGCTCTCATGGTCCCATATGAAACGAATGATAATAACATTAATTCATTGTTCGTATATACGTGTATTTTTTTAGATAAAGTTACAA